CGCCACACCTTGGACCGGTGCTCGTGCGGGATGCCCGCCCGGATCAGGCTCTTCAGCTCCGGCGAGCGCGCCATCTCCCGCGTCATCGTGCCCGCCAGGTAGTTCTCCCACTTGACGCCCGTGGACACCTCCTGGTTCTCGGCCAGGGACAGGCTCCTGAGGTCCAGCGCCCGGACCTTGGCCACCAGCCGCTCCTCCTCGTCGTCCTCGGGGACCGTCCTGAACCCGTAGATGTCGTACTCGCTGCGGAGGAAGCGCGAGGCGACAGTGAGCGGCGTGGTCTCGGCAAAGAGGCCAGACAGGGCCCAGCCGGAGTGGCTCAGCGGATAGAGCGTCGGCCTGCGGACCCAAGGGCCCCGGGTTCGATTCGGCCAAGGCCACGTACCTCAGTTGCAGGCTCCTCCCCAGCCTCCGGGGTGCATGCAGGAGGCAACCCATTGATGTGTCTCTCTCACATCCATGTTTCTCTCTGTCTCCCCCTCTCTTTTACTTTCTCTAAAAATCAATGGAACCCTAACCAGTTTGGCTCAGTGGATAGAGCGTCAGCCTGTGGACTGAGGGGTCCCAGGTTCGATTCCGGTCAAGGGCATGTACCTTGGTTGCAGGCACATCCCCAGTGGGGGGCATGCAGGAGGCAGCTGATCGATGCTTCTCTCTCATCGATGTTTCTAACTCTCTATCCCCCTCCCTTCCTCTCTGTAAAAAATTAATAAAATATATTTTTAGAAAATAAATAAAAATCAATGGAATAATATTCTCGGATGAGGATTTTAAAAAAGGCTTCCCCTCCCTGGTCCACAAAGGGAAGCTGGACGTAGTGCAGGTGTGCCTGGCCCTCGGAGACAAAACCAGGCATTTCCACCGAGCGAGGAACCAACTTCTCCGGCTCCACAGGCGCGTGACCGCGTGTGAGGGCAGCCGCAGGGCACCGCACGGAGGCCCTCACGCTCTGTGCCGAGCGTGTAAACTCACACAAGCGCCTGGGACAGGCGAGCGGGCAGAGCTCAGGCCACGCCTTCCCCGGGGCAGGGAGCGAT